TGATTTTGACCTCATGTAACATTATGCATGCTTAATTCATGCTTATGTTGTAAGAATGTGATAATGAATGGTGATATTTTCACTTGGGAGACAAAGAATGTCTTAAATTTTGGATTTTTAAGTAATCTGACAAAGGTCCTAAAAACAAACTTGTCTACTATTGTATATGGTCCCGTATGTTTCTCTGGTATAGGTTGCCATGGTAGACAATGTGTGGTAAAATGAGACTTTGCAACCTACTTTTGTGGTCCTTGTCTGAACTTTATATGGTTGGGGGTGTATTATTAAATTGTCTTGAAGCTGACTAAGTGCAAATTATCTGCTTATAGTTCCATAATTTGTCACTTATGGTACTTGTTTATTGTGTTTGTTTTATCTTTTTTGTCCCTAAATTCAGACAGTGATAGCACTGAAATGACTATGAAGTGTTATATATGGGGAATATGTGAAATTGAACCTATTGTGCATTATGAGGAAGGAGGATTAAGAATTTTTTATCATGTAGAGGCCACAGGCATTAGTCTATTTGAAATGGATAGAATACTAGAAAATCAACTTCAAACCGTTAGTGACAAAAAGTATCATATCCTAATCAAGGAATATGGATTTCGTTTGTTAAGGCATAATAGAGAGTTACATGCAAATTGTGCTGATCATTTTGACTATAGTAGGATGGTTGATTTGTATGTAGAGATTTCCTTTAGTGATCTTCTAGCATCACAATAGGGGTGACATTGAGGATGAGGACTTAATGTTAGAAGATGAAGAGGATGAATGTGATGATGAATATCTGGCTAGTTACAAACTCTGATTCGGGAGAGTTCTCAGAAAAAGACTCGGATTATGATCAAAATTCAGATGATAATGATTATGATGAAAATTTTGAATGGTTGGGGGTAAAAAATAGAAAACAAAAGCAGTTGAACAGACATCTAAAAAGAAGTCTACAGATGCTAGGATGAGGCACATGCTTAGGAAACAAATGCCTAGTGATATTGAAAGTGATGATAACAATTTTGACATAGAAACTGCCCCAAATTCAGGTATTGATATTGGTAATGATAGAGGGTCGGATGTATAGAATAGCTTGAGGCCCCCTATGTTTGATCCCAAGGATGAAAATAACCCCAAAATTAAACTTAGACAAAAATTTTTCTTCCTTCAAGAAGTTGAAAGAAGCAATTGGAACCTGAAACATCAGGAGAGAGAGACCATTTAAATTTATCAAGAGCGACAGTATAAGAGTTAGAGCAATATGTGCTAAAGATGGGTGTGATTGATCCATATATGCTAGGAGAATGAAAGGGAATGGCAAATTGAAGGTTAAAACATTTCAAAAGAAGCACAAGTGTGGATTTTCTTAGCACAACAACTCAACAAAAGTGTGAAGTATGGGTGGATAGGAAGAAGGTATGTTGGCACATTTGGGGAGAACCCAAGACTGGACTATGTTAGTTTAAAAAGTCTGGTAATGAATGAGCACAAATGTTATCTTAGTAGACATCAAGGCTATAGATTTAAGAAAATTGCAGAGAATTTGGCCAAAGGTAGTGAGATGGATCAATATAATAAACTATCTCAATATATCAATGAAGTTAAGAGAAGTACTCCAGGCAGCATAGTAATTATGAATCTGGTAGATGACTATTATGATGCAGTAATTGGACAAGGCAAATTTCAGAGATTATACATGTGCTTTGTTGGGGTAAAATCGGGATTTTTTGCAGCTTATAGGCTTGTGTTTGAATTGGATGGAACTTTTCTCAAAGGTTCAATAGATGGTGTACTATTGACAACAATTGGAATTGATCCAAATAATGGAATGCATCCTATAGCTGATGCAGCAACTAAGGGAGAAGCCAAAGACTCTTGGATTTGATTTCTAATATAACTCAGAGAAGATTTGAAAATTGAAAGGGACTATAAGTGGACAATAATGAGTGATAAACAAAAGGGAATAATCCAAACATGTGAAACATGGCAAATATTCATGAGAGTGAAGATGTAAGTCTATCACAGGTTCGAGATGGATTGCATGAAGCACAATGTGTAGGTGACTTGTCACAAATGGATACAAACCATAGCATCTCTATGAGTGATAAAATCTAATATATTTGAATTCAAGTACTGTGATTTTGTATTTGCTTAATGATAATGGTTTTAATCTCATATTCTAGGTTGAAGGTATTAACTGCTTTCAAAGAAGAGCAGTGAAAAAAGTTGTACAATTTCTTTTAACTTGAATTTGATTTTATATTCTTACCATAGAACTACTGTGCATACTCATTACTCATACTACTATTATGCAAGGAAAAGGCACTAGACGTGTAAGAAAGAAAGCATCTTCATTACAAAATAGCCAACAAGCTACTGAGAACAACATAATTTCTTCTACCCCGCTGCTAAACCTAACTTATATGAGGTTTTTGAAATTTTAGATTCATATGTGGCACATATCAGTCAAGCAGTTACTCCCATTGCTTTTGCACCATTTAGAATTAGGGATGTTCAAATTCATCTTAGACTCTCCAGGACCAATGAATATGATGACAAGTCCAATGTTAAAGGAAAAGTAAAGGTGAACTAATTATGTATTTCTTTTGTTGATGACTGTGTTTACGTGTAGGTACACTTGGTACTTCTTTTGTTATGTTGGAAGTAATACAGCTTCTTTTGTACTTTTTTTGTCGTGCCTTCTGATCAAATCTATGTATATTTTGTAAGGGAGAATTGGAGGTCCCTTTTTCATGGTTGTAATGACTGAATTGCAATATTATTTAAAGATTATTGACTTCTAGGCAGAATTGTTGCAATTTCCTTTCTCAATTGAATTGTGAATATCTTGGCATCGTTTCCGAATGTGCTTGTGTTTTACAGGGATAATTTTCAAATTATGTCTTTATTTGGCCTCTAAATTGTCATCACTTTACATGTGTAATAAGATGCTAGATAGATATTTACTAATTCAAATGTTAAATCATTCTTAAATAAAGGCTCAAAAGATCTTGAAAGGTTGTTAATTTCACATCAAGAAATGTCCATTATAGTTTACAATAGCATTGAATACAACATTGCTGATATCTTACTAGCAACATAATACATCCCAACCTACACACTTACCCACTACAAGCAAAAAATCCCAAAATTCTGAATGAACGTGTTTTAGCTATTAGTTTGAACAATATTGCTGGTCACTAGTAGCTTGTCACAAACTGCTAAAACATAGCTATTCCATCCTAATTTTTGACCTTTTACACCAACAAAACAAACAACAACAACAGTACCAACAATACAATTGCAAAGACTAATTTTCTTTCCCTTGCTCTTAGTCTTTAAATTGTGGCATCCTTAGCATTCATGCTCCGCAGCAAACCAGGTATCAAAGCAGTAGATCTTTAGGACATTACCAGATCATACCACTCGAAATAGTTGCAACCTTATTTATCCCTTCTGCCCTTCACAGTCAAGAAAATAATGCTTCAGAAAGAACCTAAAATTTGAAAGCTGATGCAAGAATTTGAGATAGTCCATACCTTCTTCATGCTGCAGCTGAAATACCTTCTTCATGCTGCAGCTGAAATACCTTCTTCTAAGGTTGTTGTGTGTCCAAGAGGTAATCATCATTGCTTGTAACTTACAGTGGCAAAACTATTATGGTATCATGACTACATACAACGAGATAAGAAGACAAATTTGACAAAATTATGCCATAAGTGTGAACGGATGAAGGAAACGGGAAACCCGAAGCTTTTCAGTCTCAATCTCTACAAGTCTTTGTCACTTCCCATCAATTGAATTTGGCTACAATAGTTTTTTCTTCAATTGGGAAAGAACAAAGAGAATGGCGGAGAGAAAGAAAGGGATAGATTGGATTTTGTCTTTGTTAATAAAAAATTTTGCCAATCGCCTAATTATATAGTAGACTAATACTAATTAATATAATTGACTCCATTTGTTGATTGTGTTTTGTCTTTGCTAATAAAAAAAAAAGGGGGACTAGATAGCTGGAAATAATTTTTTACAAGTTTTCACACTTAAAAAATTGAAAAAAAGATTTTAAGTGCCGACACGTGCTCTCACGTGACTTTTTCTAGCAAAAATTGAAGAAAACCCATCAATTGTCCACTGTCGAGCAAAATTGGATACATTAGGGAGCACATTTATTTTCCAAAATAGATTAGGGACTAGTTTCCCACATTGGTTATAAATTGGGGGTCAAAACTCCAATTCTCCCTTTTAAAAAAACTAATTTTTCACACTATTAGTATAAAGAAATTTTTCATGACTCAGTTTGAATTGATGACTCAAAATTTACATTCACATTTAAAGAGTTTTCTTATTATATGTAGGGCATATATTTAAACCTGTTTCTATATAATAAATTTTTACACCATAAATATATTTAAGATGTACTTGATTCGCAGTTTTTCTCCTCGTACACATGGTGCACGTTGAGGTTATTTCAAGTCACTTATGCACATTTTTTTTTGCTATATTTAGTGACTGTGGATTCGGTATTCTAAGGTCACTTTTGCACATAAATCTCTTAATATCCAAGAATTTAAAATTGGGATAATAATTAGGATTTTTCTATAAATTTTCCCATGAAAAAAAAAACCGATTTTTTCTTCCAAAAGATCAGTGTAAAAAGTATGCTTGAAAGGCTTAAAAATAAATGAGAACAATTTCGAATTATTTTATTTCATGAAGGACAATTCTACTTGCTATGTATTTAAGTTCATCGATAATAGCCCTCTGGGGTTTGGTCTGGCAGTTGAGATTACTCAAGATAGAACCTTAGATCCCTGGTTCGAACCTTGCTGCCAGCAAGTTGTGGAGGGTGGGGAATAGTCTACGGAGTCCACTCCCTGCGGGACACCCCTAAAAAAAAAAAAAAAAAGTTCATCGATAATAAATATTGCAAACTTTTGTCCTCTCCATGAAACATGAGTTATTTAGAGGGGCCAAAAGTTAAATTAATCCAACCCCTCTTCTTCCGCTGCTTCCTAGGGCTAAACGGTGTCGTTTGGTGGGGTGGGGAGCGGCGAGAGCAACCCCGACCGGGACTTTTTCCATCTCCTCAATTCCACTGTTTATTCCACTGTAGCCAAGGATTTTTGCATAAACTCCCAATCTCCTCTGCATAATTAATTTCATTTTATTTATTTATTTATTTTAATTTTTTGTAGTTTTTGCTTGTTTACGCAAAAATCATTGACTAGCAGAGGGCAGAGGAATGAGTGTTTTTGCAGGATCGGATCTGAACCCAGTTCACCATTTTCCACTGTCTTTTCTTATTTTCTTCTATGATTTTTTTTCTTTGAATTTAGTTGATAAAATTTGTTGCTTTTTATGTTGTTGATTACTAAATTATGTATTTGTTTTTCCTTTTTGTTACTATACTCAGTTATTTGGGAGTTGAATTTAGTTGTAGAACAGGCAAATTTAAAAGGAAAAAGTTCAAGAAAGTTATTTATTCTATTTAGTTATCCTATGGTTAATTGTATATGTGGTGGTGTTGTTTTTGTATGTCAAAATGATTAGTCAAAAGTAAGAAATTTGAATTTTGATCATAAGGAATTTCGGTACATTGCAGGGTATATTATTAGTTAATGGGAAAGGAATAATTCAAACATCGAAAATAAAAAGAGTGCATTTTTCTGTTTTAGTAGTAGTTTTACTTTTTGGGGAGGAATTTTGTATCTAGATGTTGTAGATTAGTCAGTTGTAATGAGCATCTTGATGCATTTGGACTTGGAAGGCACAATTATCTAGTAGAACATTGGCATTTGCCTTGTAGGAGTATTCCACATTGTAAAAGAGGCATCAGTGGAGGGTTAGAGATTGAGTGTGAAGTTGATTTATCATCAAGCTAATTACATAATCCCGAGTTATCTTTTCTATTCTTCAGGCAAATTTGATCTATAAAATGCTGCAGAAAATGCGCTTATGCCTGTAGAGTTTTACAGATAGGTTTATCAAACAGTAGTTTACAAGAGTCCTTTCTGTTCAATGATCATATTATCCCTTTTTGAATTCTTAAACCTTTTTTTTCAAAGGAGTATACAACATCTGTTTGGTTCTATTGCATGCGGTTTTATACACAGACATGACTGTATCCAAATATGCATATGCATGTACAACAAGTCTGGTGCTTTTATTGGGGTAATTGTGGTTTTAACTTATAGATGAAAACTTGTACTAGTATACAGAGTTCTTGTATTGCAAGGAAATGATAAAACAACCCCCAGGTTTTAGGTATTGCAAGGAAAATATCTGTTGATTTGCTTGCTTGTCACCATTGCACTGCAACCTGGTTTTAGGTAAAGCCCTTGTCGAGGACTGTGCATGGCCGATGGGGAGACTGTGTACCTGGCTTCATAAGAAAAGATCCCCTGGTCTACATGCAGTTATTAACGTGTCGGTTAGTAAAAGCTGTGAGTTGGTTTATCATTTCTCTATCATAAGAAATCAGTGGTGCATATTTGTCCCTGTTTCATCCATCTTTGTAGATTTTCTTAAGCGCCACTGGTTAAAGGAATTGTTACTTTCCATGGCTACAGGCTCGTTGTCCTGTTTGACTCCTGAATGTTGTAGAGCAGACTTATTTCGTCACTCAAGCAGAATTAGAAAAGATGCCTGCACCGTTAAGAATACTTGTGCCTTCAAGGTTGCTTCTTTTTCTTGAAAACCTGAACTTGTATTATTTCAGGTTTGCTCCACTTTGTATGAGTTCCTTGAAGACTTGCTGCGTTTCCTGCTTTATTTTAGGAGATAGTCATAATAAAAGCAATGTCAAATTGTTGTTAGATTCAATTTTGTTGGTATTCCTTCTAGATTCATTGAATTGATGGTACTTGACTATCACTTGTCAGCCTTGTCTGAACAATTTATTTTAGGTATCTGGAGTATATCATGTTCAATTGAATCCACATGCTTATTTGTGTAATGAAGACTGTTCAATGCTCCATCAAATGTTGGCAAATCATTTTCCATCCTATACATAAAACATGCCTAGAATTGTTCAATGCTCCAACGAAGGTTGGCAATTGATTTTCCATCATGGACATAAAAACGTGCTTAGAATTTGTACACAATCTTGACACTGATACTACTATTCTCTTTATTACTACAATGTAAAAAAAGGGCAAACTTTTTCTGCATCACATGTGCGACATTCTAAGATACGGGCTTCTCAAATGACACCTCGGATGGTTACTACCTTCAATTCCCTTGATTTGCAGTCCCATGGAGATATGATGCCGTGTTGCAACGGTGAAATAGTTGGTTCCATGAGATATGATAATCTTCCTCTTCTTGTCTCTCTGAAACTCATGATGGAGCTCCCTCTCAAGCTTAATATACAGCCTTCTTTTTCATCTCTGCGCCTGCAAAAGGTACGCATTTCCTCTTCAATTTCGCAACCTTGAAGGCTGACCACATGAAGACCTTCTAGAGAACAAGTAGCATGAAGTTGACAATTGGTATAACAGATAATTGTTGCAGCTTAATCTTGGACAACACTCAGAGCTCTGGCAACTGCAGTGTAGAACATGCAAGGCTATCATATGGCAATAAAGGTAGAGTGAGGAAGGGTGATGTTGTCTCTGAGTTTTGATTTTTTTTTTTTTTTTTTATGTATTCTTTCTGATAGTTTGTGAGTGATAGAATATACAGCAACGGGCCTTAATTATAAATGACAAATCAATTGTGCAAGTTAGTGTGGGCTTGGATGGGTGCTTGTTCCTTGGTGGGTATTATGTGTTTTAAGAACAATCTAAAATCCCAAGTACTCATTCTGTTCCGATTCCACTTCACTTTTTGTTCCAGTTCCAATTCACCTTTTGTGGGTATCAGATCCTTTGCATCATATGCAGATTGGTTACAGTCCGTAGATATCCAATCCAATTTTCATAGCTTTTCTTTCACTAATGTACACTGCTTTTTTTTTCTTTTTACTTGAGTCTTTAAACATATGAGTTTCAAAAGTTGTCGTTGAAGTATTACATGATATTTGAATTTTTTTTTATCAGAACTTAACTCCTTTGTAATGTGACAGACAAGTATAAAATGATTTCAATCTAGCAAAAAATAATAATAATAATAATAGTAATGACTCGTATATTAGTATGGCAAATAACTCGCAGGATATTGTAGAACTAAAATCTTAGATGAATGTACAAGTATATAAGCAGAAATATGTAAAATCAACACAAAAATCCTAAATTTTGTAATACCTTCTAGAGAAGATTTATTGATCTAGTACCTTCTAATTCATCTATCAAATTAAAGAAAAAGTATTTTCATTAAAAAAAAAATAAAGAATCAACAAAATTATGAACAAATCTATCCAATATCTCAAATTAGGCACAAAAGAGTTTAACTTTCCCAACTCAAAAACAAATTTGATAGGATTTGTAAAATTAACTCCCAAAAAAAAGTAGAACAAAATCATGAATATAAAAACAAAAAATAGAAGAGGAAAGCGAAAACAATTGTACTTCTTTATCTACCAAGTTCAACTTCATTATCATATGCACCATCAATAATGTCAAAGAAAAGGTATAAAAGAAGAGGGAAAAAAGAAAAGAAAAGAAAAGAAGATGAATGAAACTTGTAGAGTGTGAACATTTTTATAAAAAAAAGTAAGAGGATTGAAGGTTTCTTCAATTTTTAGTTAAATTTTAGTCATTTTGTTTTTAAGTTGGGCCAAGTAGGATTCTTGTTTTTTAATTTGACAAAAAACAATGGCCCATCAACCAATTGTAGTCGCAGATAGCTAGCTGTAGACATTGGGTTTTCATAGATAGAACCCAAAAGTTCAACGAAGGTGAGCAGTTCGTAACAAAAAGTCCAAATCCCAAGTCAAAATTCAAAAATCGGAGTTACCAGTTCAACCAATTTATTCCGATTCATTGGTTTTGTTTATTTTTTCAACTTTTCAAGTTTCTCATAAAATGGAACCGGTATCATGACCAATTTGCTGTTCAACCAGTCAAACCGACTGGTCCAATTCGATTCTTAAAAGCGTTGGCTGGAAGCACTTGATTCAATTTGGACCATTCATTTGAATTATTAAATGAACGGTACTGATTGAACTAACCAGAATGAACCAAGTTCATCCGACTAATCTCGACGGTTGGTGCAGTTGCTCCATTTCCGCTCAATCCTACACTTACCGAACACTATTAAGTTCAATTCAACTAATCGAGTATCGAACCTATCATAATAATTATGAAAAGTCTTTCATTTGAATAATCACAAAAAGTTGACAAATTGCTCACTAGACACTACTAAAATTGCAGCATGATGAAAGTACACACACATATACACACACGCACTTTATTAAAAGTATCGATATGATTTGGTAATTTAGTGCTTTAGTTTTCACTTTCCAGTTATACCCATATATAATTAAATAATTAGGCCTATCTTAGAATCTAAATGCAAATTTGTTGCGAGATATTTATGGATATTAATATTGATTTAATTACCGTGTACTACTTATTAGGATTCTAAAAGGAAAAGAATTCCAAAACCATCCACTACTTATTAGTAAGGAAAAGAATTCCAAAGAAAGTAAAACCAAAAAAATTTAGGAATCATATATTAGATCAGGAAAGGAATAAAATGATTACTTACAATAATTAGTTGCAATTGGAAATCAATCAAATAGTCCATGGTTGGCAATAGGCTAGAAACGGAAACCATATCACTCAATGAGCGACTCACAGTCATCGAAAAAATCACTTGTACCAAGACATATGTATCGACTGACAAAAGAGGCCCAGGCAAACTGATCATGATTTTTATTATATGATAACACTGATTTGGTGTCCAACATAGCCATGCTGAATTATCGTGGTACTATTTTGCCTCGTGTTTCTATACTTTTCTCAATTGCCTTCTTTTTTTAGATCCTTTTATTAATTTGAGTTATGACGGGCGTCGTAAAATTCTATATTATTGGAAAAGATCTTTTTCACTTTGATATATGTAAATTCCAGAGGATAATGATTTCATAATCAAATGTTCAGGTTTATTTAAAAGAGTAGTACTAAGATGACGAGCACTGAGATTAGGTGCATTTGATAAAATTGAAGTCTGGAAATTGAAATCTAAAGTCTGAAGTTTGAATCCATTAAGTCATTGAATTGTTAAATATTAAATCTAATACATTTGAGTGTACATCACATTTTATTGATAAATGAATAGTTTATCACTTATTTTTTGGAGCAAGTTTTGTCTAGGGAATTCGGTGCCACTCAATTAATTCAAATGTTCAATTTTCGATTATCAAACGCATCTAAACATATTAAGATCTGAATCCATCAAGTTTAAGTGCTGAATTAATTTGTCAAACAGGGCTTTAATCTTACAGTCGTCTTCCCAACCGGTTAATGCTAAAAATTTGGTACGTGAATATTCTTTTTCTTAATGTAATAAATGCAAATGACAAAAAAAAAAAAAAAAACAAAAACCTACAACCGTTCCATCCCCCAATATTTGTTCGCTACAACAATAATTCCGTTGTTATAACTAGGGCTGCAATCAAGCCGAGTCGAGTCGAACTTTGGTCTAATCGAATCGAGTTTTGACTTAATTTCATCGAGCTCTAGCTCGATGAAATGAAAATTTTGAAGCCCGAGCTCAAAAAAATAAAAATAATTATTTTATTTTTTTAAAAATAAATAAAATAATATTTTTTTCTTAATAAATAATAAGATATTAAGGATATTTATGTAATTTACTATTGAAATAAAAATAAATAAATATATATACGCTAACGAGTTTAATATTTTGATCTCGAATTCGAACTCGACTTTGACTCGACCAGATCGAGCTCGATATGGATCGAACTCGAGTCAAACTTGAATCGAGCCGCTCGCGAGCAACTCGATTCGTTTGCACCCCTAGTTATGACCTAGCCGGCGACCACACTCGACTACAACAACCCCGAAACATCCAACAGCCACCAATATAATCCCAAATCAAGTAATTTTTCTAATTCTAAGCCCCTCTCAAACTATAGACCCCAAATTTCAACCGAGATTAATAAATTCCACAGCCACCAAACCATAATAAATTGGCATCCAACAAATCTCATGCCAATCATTTCACTTTAGCGGCGAGTCTAAAATTAAATAATAGACTTTATGAGTGTGCCCTGAAAATGGATCACAAACTGGAATAAAGACAAACTTCTATGAATAATTTTGCTTTCTTTGCACCGTACAAGTTGTTTTCTTGATTTATTTATTTATTTATGTGTCAACTTTTTAAGGGGGCTAAACAAATTGTAGAAGTTTTGAAGAGGAACATTGATGGGAAAAAAGAAATATTAATTGATGGGAAAGAAATATTAATTGATTGTTAGTTTCTGCCGGAAAATTGCGTCGTTTTCCGTGATCACATCTCCCTATTATCTTTTTCCCTCACATACATCAAATCGCTACAGTAATTTTTCCATGAAGAATGCAATCCAAACACCTATATGTAGCAGGCATGAATGATCTTGTCATCTATGGAGAGATTAGTTGTAATGGTTACAGAATTCTAGGGCAGAGAGAGAAAAGAAGGATACAAAGGTGTTGGATCAAAAATAGAGGATGACAAATTGAATATACAGGAAGCGCCCATTGCCAGTTTCCTAGTTAGAAACTAGTGGTGATGATTTGTCCGTAACTTCGTGGTAAGTTTTTGAAATGTGACCATCCTATTTTTCTATTTAAAATATTAATTAATTAAGGAAACGAAAGTCTCTCTTAAAAAAAAACTTTGTATGTATTTGCATTTGCTTCCTTTCTTGATTTCATCCTATATTGCAAGCTCCTTGTAAGCAATTATAGGTCCAGCAGTATCCATCTTTCTAATGAAGCCATTAAAAATCTTGCCTTATTCAAATACAAATTAATGAAGCATTTTGATAAATTACACAGGAGTAATTCCACGGATATCACCTTCTCAGAACCAAAATGCAGAGATTGACGTAGGAATCATTCCAAAGTGAAGTTCTAATTGATCAAGAGAATGAAAAAAATTTTTTTTTTTTTTGTGCAAGAGAATGATTATTTGAATGAGTATCACAAAACGTACAATACCTATGATGTGCAACGCACGTACTCTCATATTAGTCCCAAAATAAATGAGAAAAAGTGGCAACATGTATGGATAGCTACGGTTAAATTGGCTGAACGCGGGTTCTTTGTGGGTTCCCCTTAAAGTACTTTCGAGCCGATTTCTCTATTAACTTTTGAGTGTTTCTAATCTAATTTAACTGTATAACTTTGGAAGAAAAATGTATGGATAGTTACGGTGTATCTCTAAATACATAAAGCGTTGAAGGGTTTCTTTGTAATTTGAGTGTTGATTTTGTCCTCATTTGTCTTTTTAGGTGTGATGGAACTCATTGTGGGGCCATCTCCGTTTCATGTTCGTCATCCACAAAGTCTGAATTTTGGTGGCACTATTCCACTTTAACCCTTTTACACTGGTTTCGCTGTTGTTTCTCTATAGATTTTGGCCTTTTTGGTCTTTTTATTGCGAATACTACTTTTAGCGGTTGGGGGCTGCATGCTTCATATGTCTGCCCAGATTTCTTTGGGCCTCCCACATTTTTTGGGTTTGCCGCCTAATGTTAGCCAACTATGTTTGGGTTTGAGACACCAGAAAAATACCACCATATCCATCCATACATAGCAAAAAACCGAGGATACGCAAACAAAACAGCAACTTTAGCTGCCAAGTTATTCTTCACAAGTTAAATAGTACCAACAACAAACAATTTAAAAATTTATACAATTTACACATTACTAAT